TCCTTATTAGTCATTTAATATTAAACAACAATCGCTAACTATTGTATAGCTAAACAGTTATATTTATCAAATTCGCTATTTACTATTCGTTACTCACTTTCCGCTATCTGTCATCCGTTATTTGCTAACTGCTAACCGCCACCCGCTACCCACTATCACTATCCATTATCTGCTACCTGCTGTCTGCTATCCGTTGAATTTTAACCACTGTATAATTAGCAAAAGAATTGGAAGCGTGGGGAAGAAAATCCTTTGTTTTATTTTTTTAATTAATTTATTTATATAAATAAAGGGAATGGAGGGGAGCTAAGTACACATCCTTCCATTCCATTGAATTTCCTTTCCCTTCCCTCTCTTCTTTTCAAATCAAATATAGGGTAACAATGTAATAAATTGATGTAGAAAAAGTTGGTAAAAAGGTGGAGTGGGTCCCACGTGAGAAAAGTTTAAGAGAAATTTTTTCTTTATGACAATTGCGCTAAGGAAAAAAAACCTGAAAATATTACTTTTATCCTTTTTTTTTTTATAGAGATTAATATGTAAAAAGTAAAATATCTAAATTTACCCCTAAGGTATAGGTAAAAACCTATTTTTAACCCTTTATTTTACTAAATTTGAAGGTTTTAGCCATTTACCTTATATTATGACACTTGTAACCCCTTATTTTACTAAATTTATAGATTTTAGCCCATCACCTATTAAAATCAAAGAAAATAACCCTCATTTTATATTGATTGTTAATTTTGTTAGCTGAAAGTAGGTTTTTGTCAACTAATAGTCAGTTAACAAAATTAACAAAATATTATAAAATTAGTTTTATTAATTCTGTTAGTTGAAAGAAGATTTTTATCAGCTAATAGTCAACTAACAGTCAACTAATAGAGTCAATAATCAGTTAATAAAATTAACAAAACGTTACAAAGTGAGAGTTATTTTCTTTAATTTTAATAGGTAAGGGCTAAAAACGTTATAATATAAGATGATGGATTAAAACCTATAAATTTAATAAGGTGAAGTGTTAAAAAGATTATAATATAATGTGAAGGGCTAAAACCTTCAAACTTAAAAAGGTGAGGGGTTCAAGGTAGGTTTTTGCCCAAAGTATAATGGTGGAGATGGATCTATCCCTAAACAAAAAACGAGAACAAATCCACCTATAAACTTTTTGACTTAAACAAATCACTCTAAATTTAACGTGTAATGTTATCTGATGTTAGCAATTCGCTAACAATGAACATATTAGTGACATAACAAATTAACGGATTATTAATATTAGATGACGTCACATATTAAATTTGAGATAATTTGTTCAAATCAAAAATTTTGTGGGTGGATTTATCCCTGTTTTCTGTTCAAAAGTGTATCCGTTCAAAAGTGTATCCGTTCTTGTCACTATACTTTGGGGGGTGAATTTGGGTATTTTACCTATATAAAAATACACAAATAACTCTAATGTAATTCAAGTTAGGGTAAAAGGCGAGAAAAACTTTTCTCCCCACTCAAACACGCCCTAAGGATATATTTGAATAAAAATTAGTAAAGGAAATAAAAGGAAATAGAGAGAGAGGAAAATAGAGGGGAAGGAAACAAGAGTAGACAATTCATACTAATCTTGTTTAAACAGATTAAAAAAGAGAAAGGACAGAATAGGGGAAGATTATATATTTTTATTTAATTAGATGAAATAAAGAAAATTAATTATAAATTTATATAAAATTTTATAATTTTATATATTAAAGTTAAAGTTAAAATAGAGATTTCAATTATATTTTTGACAAACAATGGTTAAAAGAAAAAATAGTAATAAATCAAATTCTTCTAAATTTTTTAAAATTTAAAGAATTAAAAATAAAAGATTTAGAAGGAGTCCATTACCTCTCCATCTATTTTCCCCTCCGTCCTCCTCCATTCCCCTCCTTTAGTGAATATAACCAAACAAGAGAGAGGAGACACCTCCCTCTCACTCTTCCCCCTTCCCCTCTAACTCCATTTAATTCAAACAGAGTGTAATGAAAATTAGAAAAATTTTCTCCCAAGCATACTTTCCTAACTTCCCATTACATTTAGGATCGAATTTTCTGGTATTTTCCCCATATTCTAAAACCCTAAATTTAGATTACTACTCATGAAGCACAAAGCACTAACAATTTCTTACAACTGATTTTAGTTTCTCCCTGCAGACAGCATCATCTTTCGGGCAAATCAACTCCCATGAAACAACACCGTAGATTGCTCCCTCCTATTAACAAAATCATCTAATTTAACAACCATCCATATTCCATAATTCAAACAGCCCCACCAGGAATCAGTTCTCCACCCGTATATGATTATGCTACGCTTGTCTCGCGTAATGTTATTTAGGTTCTGAAGAGTACCCGGGAATTTTCCCCAGATTAACATCATGGAAGATCACCAGATTCGATCTTTACAGCAATTCTTCTTCATTGTTCTCTTCCTTATCTTTTTCTTTGCGCTCATCTCCTTATTTTACGTAATGTATAAATGTATCTGGAACAACGGCCATCGCCTCTTTGGTGGTAACAGGAATAGTTCCTCCAATGATGAACTGGAGGGTCACAGAAACACGACTGATGGTCAGAACGATTCTAACAGGAACCCTACGAGGATACAAAACAGGAGTGATAATCCTGTTAGAGGGAACATCAATCTAAATCAAGGGTCCGGCAGTAGAGAGCGGTTTGCAATACGGACGGAGTTGGCAGCTGTCCTCGTGCACGTCCAGCAGCAGCTGGAGAGGCAGCGGAACGAGAGGACAATAACAATAGGGGAACTTGCTCAACCAATGAGTTACCGGAGTTATGAGAGAACGGTGAACTCAACTGAATGTGCTATTTGCCTGGAGGAGTTTTCCGGGGACGATGAGTGTAGGGTTCTGCCTATTTGTAAACATATATATCATATGGGGTGCATCGATAGGTGGCTGATGGATGAACTGACCTGCCCAATCTGCCGGACCAATGTTACAGAACATGCATGATGCATGGATGCATTAGGAAGTTTTTTTTTTTTTTTGAATTTTGTAAATATTCATGTCATCCAAGAATTTTTAGAATCCTAGATTTTTTTTTTCTTTTATCATCAATCCTCTTCACAAGGAAACAAAAAATCCTATATTTTTGATGGATCGTGTATTCGAATATATATGTTAAAAAAATCCAAAAAAGAAAGAAGAAAATATAGATGCATAAACAAGTAATGGGGTAAAAAGACTCTTTATGATGAAACTTTGTAGCTGTCTAAACTAAACCTTCATCTCTATAGTTTAGAAAATGAAAACTATCATTCTGTGAATCATTATTAGAGACTATCCCTTACCTATTTACATGTCACCTTTGAAAACCTGTATGGCTTTAAAAGACCATAAAAAAAAGAGACCTCTCACCTCCCAGACCCAGGTAGCAGCAACTTCATTTCCAGAGTGGATTTGAGGTTGATGGTAATGCAAGTGAAAGAGTAAGAGATACTTCCGGTTCATTTGCAGGGATATTTTCCTGCTTTGGGAACCCGAGTGAGAGATCAAGATTCGGAATCACAGCTTGCAACTGATGCTCATTCTGTCTTGAAAGAACCTGTTGCTGCAGCATGGATCCAAACGTACTCTGATTGACTCCTAAATCCAAGCTGGCAGAAGATATGGACATATTGTTAGCTTCATCAGACTTGTGAAGCTCACCAGAAATATGAGAACCTTGGCCATCTGTCAGAGAACAAAATCTATAACTCGAGTTATTTACATCCCTGAAAATATTAGATTCGCCCATTCCACCAATAGAAGGCTTTAGTCTCTTGCAGAGATGTTTGTCCTCCATATTCAAACTGTCGTCATTTTCTTCAAAAGAAAGGTTGAGATCAATTTCATATCTTTTCTTGGAATTTGATTCTGCTCGCTGTAGGTAAAGAAAAAGTTAGTTATCAATATTTGTTTCCCCATTCAAAAAATAAAAAAAAGGTAAAAAAAGACGTAAGTCAAAGTGCAAAGTTAAGAATACTTGAGAAACTAAGATAGTTAATCAGCTGAAAAAGGAAAGAAAAATATGAAACGGTAAATGTGCCAAACAACATATTTGGAATTACTTTTACGTCGTAATCTTATTGCTTACTATATCTTTTAAGCAACTTAAATAGAGAGTCAACTTTTGAATTAAAGGAAAAGGACTCCCCGCTTGCCAGCAAAGGGGGAATAAGAATATATCAAGGAATAACTACTTCCTGAGCAGAAGACGTTCCATTCTGATTCTTGCTCTTTTGACTAACTGGAAATTCTAATGTGTCCGTGTATTTATATATGTAATCAGTGACACCAGTCATACAGTCACACAAACAAAAAAATTTTTTGTTTCTTTTTTAAAGGAAAAATAACAAGCAAAGAAAACCTACCTGAGCAGAATCAGAGAGAGGTAAGTCACCAGACAACTCAATTTTCTTTTGAGTGTCAACTAGGTCCAACTGTTGATCAGTAGTTGTTTGCAAATCCATAAACTTCTGTTCGGCAGGAGATACTTCGGTTTTACAAAATTCAACCATTCTTCCAGAGGTATCAGCTTGCATGTTCATTGAAGTGGTTGGGCTTAATATTTGTTGTGCATTATCAGAAAAACTTTCACTTGACTGTCCTGATGAAAACAGATTCCTGGAAGCAGAAATGGAAGGAGTTATTGTACCATGGTTAAGCTGCTCCTCTTTCAAGCTAGAAGTGCAAGGCTTCTGACTTGGCAATTTGTCTGAACAAATAATCTTCTTTCCTCTAAACACACCCCATAAAAACAACAACTTATTCCAACCTGCAAGTACCGAAACTTAAGATTTAGCAATAACTATAATCTAATTTTTCATTTATAGATGCAAGATTCATAGGCTTCAATACTTACGCTGAGCTTTCTCAGGAAGCAGGTTAGAAGAGAATATTAACAAGTCAAACCCACCAAAATTCCCCTTAAGGCAGAAATCATTCTTAACCATACTGTCAACCAAGGTCTTGTAGCTTCTGTTATAACTGCACAAGGAGAATGCAAAAAAATTAAGCAGACTGGAATAAAACAACTGTCTTAAAAAAGGAATACTTTAACAAACCTTGCAAGATCTTCTGGAAAAAAATAGAGAGCAATATTATCTTCTCTGGCCTGACTTCTTACGAACTGAGTTGGCCACATACTTGACCGAGTTACTTTTGCCAATAGAAGTTCTGGAGGAAGTTTTTTCACCACTTCAAGAACTTTATGTGAAGCAAGACTTGATAGGTGTGCTTGAATTCCATCACAATTAATTGAAAGTTTACTGCCCCTAGAAATTTCAAATTTCCCTCTGCATGACATTTAAAAATTTATGGATAAGAAACTCAAAAGGCTCAACAGTTATGAAACTCAAATTGCAAAGTCTTCAACAAACTTCAAGATAAACAATCAGCAAGGTAATAAAAAAGCCATACTTCCATATGTCACCAGGCTCTGGAATAGCATAAACCTGAGGAGTAACGTCCTTCAAAGGTGCAAACAAGGATGTGTCCCTCTGGCAAGCTCTTTCATCAGAATGAACAGAAACTTTTGAATGATTTGCATTGTTGGCAGACACTACTTCCACAAAGTCAACAGGCTGCCTCACATCATTGACACTACCCTTTCTCTCCTGAGTTGGAAAACCTCTTTTAGCAAGTTGACCAGACGGTTCCAGTGAACTACTTGATCTTAAATGACTCTTGTCACCTGGCAGATCTTGATAATTGGACCTGCGGACCTCTGGTAAACTAGTTTTCCCATGAGCTGTAATTTTCTCACCAACCTTTAATGCAGCAGGATTATTGACAGCTGAACTCAATGTCATTTTTGTTTTGGTAAGAGACTGTTTATTTGCATGCCTTAATCTCTTCAAATACCCTCCACTAGAAAACTGTGATGGGAATTTTTTAAAGTCAAGACTTGTATTTTTCTGACCTTTTGGCAAGGCATTGTTGAAAGACAATGATTTTAACATCATTTTTGTAACTCCTTCCTTACTGCCACTTTTCACAGTTCTTCTAGCAAAATCTTGCTTCAGCCCACTGCCTTCCCTGGATGGTTGAACCTTCTCTTTTACACTTGTACTGGGGAAAGACTTTGATTTGGAAAGAAATCCTGTAATGCCAGCATGCAAAACTTCATAAATCAGAACTCATAGACAAGAAAACATTCTATGAAGAAAGTAGAGCATAAAGCTTCTGACAGAAAGGTGTTTAAGAAATGTACCCTTTGACATCTGAGATTCCAATGGCATTGTGGGCGATTTACCAGCTGATGTACTAGGAATTTGTGCAGTTTCCATATCAGTTCCAGAGGGTTGGCCTCTTAATGTTTTTCTGCTATGACTCAATTTGTTAGGCAATTTAGCAATGGTTTCAAAAGGCCTCTTTCTCACAGAGATAGCTTCCACACTGCCTGTAGGACTCTTAGCAGAGGAAGGACGAGAAGAGCTAACTTTATGTGTTCTGATTTTCTCAAATGCTGATCCTTGGACATCAGATTGCAAAGTATTCCTAAAATGGAAAGCATTTGAACCTTGAGAGTTCTGCCTTATTTCATTAGAGGATAATTTTTTCAGAGGTCCAACTCCTCTATCAGTTTTCACTCGCTGTTGTTTTTCAGTTTCTTCACTGAGGGTACATTCCTCACACATCCAATCACCTTTAGGAACCTTGTCCAGCTTGACTTGCATGCAATAACTGGTCAATGGGAATGAAATGTCAATATTACATCGACCACATGAAATAGAAGATGCACTCAAAATGCAAGTAGTGAGAAGAGAGAAAGAAATGTGGAACATACATGTGTTCTGCCCCATCACTGCATTTGCTACAAATAGCAAGAGACTCCTCTTTTCCAACGTCGCCACATATATCACAAACCCTTACCTGCTTGTTAATGGCATGAATATTAAGGATGCAATCTTAATCCAGAGGCAAGGAGTAATACATGAAATTCCTACTCCATTAAGCAAGAATATAATTATAAAGAAAAAAAAAAAACAGAAAGTAGAATAAAAAAAAAGAAGTAAGATTTACATACAAGAACCTTTAGGCCATGAAATTATCAATTAGATTAAAAATTAGGAAAGCAAAAATTCACATTGCCAACCACTCCCAACCACTCCCCTCTTTTGATCGCCAATATGCAAACCTCAAACCAGAGGATGCCTCCCACCTAATTGTTAATATAAGAACCTTGTAGAATTCTATTTAAGACAACCTAGCTGCAAAAGTAAAATATTTCAAGCTACATAAATGATAGTAATTATTCATTAATAACTTTATGCAGGAGCAATTGTTTCGACTCTAATTGATGGTAATTGAAGAATAACTTTGGAATGAATGACTAAAAACTTGCCATAATTTTCCAAGCATAGCCATTCTTATTCTAAACCAAATAATTTTTGTTCAATAAAACATGCTTAGTTCTGCACTGCTCATATCCAGAAAATCTAAGCTAAGTTCTTACTACATTTGTGCTACTTCTACCTTGTTATAATTAATTAACTTTTAAACCAATCTTAACATCAACATTTCAGAGACATTCATCTTGACCATATTGAAAACTAAGAGCAAATACTTAATGCAATAAAGGATAAATGCTGCTCTCTCCGTTGAGAATCTTTTTTAGGGTAATTTTAACCCCCATTTCTTGCCCAAATCTTTTACTCAAAAGTCAAACATTAGCTCAAGGGAGACGGGGGTTGGGGGGGGGGGGCGTGAATAGAGTTCAAATGGTGAAGATCCTACTTTTATAAATCCCAAAAGGGAAAAAAGAGTAGGATAAAGAAGCATTTATAAATATTTTATCATTCTTCAGTCTGATAATTATAATAAAACGATAGTTTGATGCTTACTTGCCACAATAGTTAAGTTGTAATTGTATTATACAACACAACCTTCAAATGATGACGTTGTCAACATAAAGAAAATTTATTAGCTTCAATTAACCGCTAAAGTATCATATAGCAGACGTGAACTTGTCCTTTCACAAACTTATTTCCATCTTACTCAGTATAATGTTTATCTAGCCAAGTTGAAAAATTGAAATAAATGATGAAAATAACATTTTCTACCCAGTCAATCTTTGCAACAGCACTATCAAAACACTTTCCAGTTCCAAGCTAAGGAATAAAACTTAAGTTCAATTATTAGAGAAACCCCATATCACTACTGGAAAATGTTAAGATATAATATCAAAGAAACAATACGTACATCATACTCTATAATGCCAGATCCATCACCACAGTCAGCAGGCACAGATCCAACAATAGTTCCCCCTTTACCAGCTTCCTTGACTACTGTAGGAGAAGTTCTGAAATGCAGTACTGACTGCTCTCTCTTATTTGAATATGTTGCAGCTTCAGCTGACTGCTCTCTCTTATTTGAACATGTTGCAGCTTCAGCTAACTGCTCTCTCTTATTTCCATTATCTACACGCAAAGATCCAGTAGTGCTGTGTTCATCACCCATCAGGCTGCGAATCCTTAATGTGGTTTCCCTTGCAAATGATGATTGCACTTGTTCCTCAGAGCACTCAGATCGCTCTCCCTGAAAAAGAAGACTACAATTAAATTTCAACTTCCGCACAATTTCACAACAAAAAGTCAATTCACGACCTAGTTTAAACAAATTAAAGAAATCCAAATTAAATACCTTCAGTGAACTAGTGCCAGCACAGGAATCTCGTATTGATGAAATCTCTGATAAGTCAGATGGTTTTGAACAACACAAAATTTCCCCTAATGAGTCCTTGGTAAAACTATTCAACCTCAGGTTCTTAGCATCTGCGTTACCAAAAGGAGTACCACTCAAGCAACTGGAAGAAGGTTGATCATTAATGACCTTTTCAACCTCAGAAAAGCTATTATCTGAAGAGGAGCAACAAGACAAAATTTTCCTGTACGTATCACCCTTGTGGCCATCGACCTTCATCTTCATGTAGTCTGATCCACTGACACAAGGGATGCCATCTCCTGTGCATTCTGACTCTCTCTGTTTCTCAGGCTGACTTGAGACACAATTATCAGGAAAGATTGTTGCCTTAAGAGAACCACAATTCTCATCAGCTTGACTGATGGTTGGTTTTGAAATCATCTGAATGTCAGCAGAGCTGTTAGAATCCCGCAGAGTCTCTCCACTCTCTTCATTTTCAGAGAAAGATCCATGACTGGAACATGCACTCAGAAGGTGACTAGTCTCTCTGCTAGTATGAGGTCTTCCATAGAAAGCATTATCAACAGGAGAAGACAACAGAATGGCATCACTATCAGAGGAGGAACGGTTACTATCTTTTTCCTTCCTGGCATCACCCAAAAACACACCAACCTCCACTCCCATTGGTGCCACTTGTTCAGAATGCATGCAAGCTGAGCATGCAGTGGCACGTGAGTCGCATGCCCAAGATTCCTCTTTCAAAGCCAATTTACCGTTTGAGAAATGACTACTGGGGAAAGCTTTTTTCGCCAACAGACAACACCTAGCATGTGCAATAGAAAATTACGACCAAGAAAGAAAAAGCGGCAGATAGGAGGAAAAATAATGTGTAAATAATCAGTACATGGAAACAATAGCAAGAAATAAAGCAAAATTAGAGTTGTGATTACTATATGGTGCATAATCGAAAAATGGCAACATAGAAGAGTTGAGCTTCAGTTTGGGAATGGTAAAATACCATAAATTTTAATTTTGATCTCAAAAAGTAAGAAGAGATGGATAGCTTACGGTATAATAATTAAGTTTTACAAGTAAAACTATAATTACATAACTCAGTAGCTGGACATAACAAATATGGGAAAAGAAAAATAAATGCTTCAATAAAACACAACGCAACATGTTCCAGGAAATAATAAATGGTAACTAGAGTAATTGAATCAACAAAATGCAATGCAACACATTTCCAGGAAATAATAAATGGTAACTTCAGTAATTGAAGAGCATCCATGGATTACTGGTAGAGCCTACTAAAAAGGAAATTGCAAAATATCTGCTTTATTCCAGCATGTGACTTAAGGAGAAACTCATATCTGACATTTATTGGATATTTCTCTTGAACAATCAACTGAAACTATGCTTAACAAGGAACTACTGCTAACAAGAACTATGAGTAAGCATCAAAATCAATCTCAAAGCCATTAATGTAATTTGGAATTTTTGAAATGAGCTGTTATCTCTATTCCAGCCCTAAAGAACGTCTCAAAATCATCATAAAACCTCTCAGCATAACTTCAAGCTTAGCATCCAAATTCACTTATATAGAATTTTTCCTCATTGAAACAAAATTATAAGAAATAATAGAAATTAAAGAAAAAATTCACAATGCTAAACTAAATTCTAACCTTTGCAGACAAAGCAAGACAGTCAGCTTCCCCTGCAAGCCTTAGTAGACAACTACACCCTCTTGACACTGGTATGATCTGAGAAGACAATAAAATGATTTCTTTAGAAAGAGAAAAAAGCAAAAGAAATTATTAAGTAATCATATTAACTTTAATGCTAAAGCTATGAAACTCCGAGACTAAAGTAAATGCTTTCTCTTTATGCTCAAGACTGTATCTTTTCTTTATTAAAAAGGAACATGATCCAATACATGAAAAAAATAAAGCCTATTGAATACTAACTAACATTGGGTTACTGAGAAAATGGGGAAAAGGAGGGGAAACAAAAACACATTGTTAATCTTAGTACCGATGAAATGAGGCAAGTTTTGATTTCAAATAGAAATAAGCATTGAACTTGAACTTCACCCCAAAACCAAAATTCCCAAGCTAAAAATTCAAATTTACCAGAAATTTAAACAAAAAGTTCCTTTCTTCAGCAACAGAACATGTTCAAGAAAAAAAAAATAATTTAAAAGAAATCAAGATACACCAATCGAAAAAACGAAATTAAAAATTCCCACAGTGGCAATAACAATCAAACCCTAAAAACAATGAACAGAAAACAAGATAATCAAAATCGTCAAGCAATTAAAGCAAACAGAGAACCTCAGTAACCACAACATGATCACTGAATCAGCTACAAACTGGAGGAAACTATCAAACAAACAAGTGAAAAATGACATGCCCTCAGGCTTAAAAGATCATCAGTATTACCACCACAGAATTCCTTCATATTCTTAAAACTTTCACTTTCCTCACATCCCAAACAAAAACCTCAATTCCATCCACCACCACCACCACCACCACCACAAACACAGAAGAAATATCAAGAACTCCGGAGCATTTATAGACGAAACGCTAAGGTTTCAAAAATGTTGACTCAGAGATGGAGGAGTGTGCGTCCCTGGTTTTTTCCTTCGCCCCCGTCTGCTCCCTCTATTTCAGGGAAATTCAATTCCTATACTCTTTATTGCCTTGCCTTTTAGAACGAGGCAAAAACCTACTGTTAACTCCTCATTTTATTAAGTTTTGAAAGTTTAACCCCACATCTTATTCTATAAAACTTTTAAAAAATTTTAATTTAATCTCTTAATTATTATATTGATTTTTATTTTGATCGTATTATTTATTAATTTAATTTTAAATTAATTTTTTTATTAAAAAATAATTAATAGTCATTATTTAACAAAAAAATTATTATTTAATTATTATATATCACATTAATAATGAGATATAGATTTATTTTTATAAAAAAAATTAATTATAATTAAATTAATTAATAATAAAGACAA